CCGAGCAGGAAATGAGTTTGATTCCCAAAGTTTTGTAGTCCTTTAGCTAACAGACCCCAACTCAGAATAAGCCCTGATAGTTCTTTGTACGTTATCTATTGTTTGATCCTTACTGCCTGAAAATGATTGATGAGCTTTACCTGAATTCCTGTGCAAATTGAACCCAATAAAAGCCTACTGAGGAAAAGGGTCTTGGCCCTTCTCCTTTGAGAGATCAGCCACTTTTCCTCCCCAAGCAGATCATGTCTTGGTAGACTTATTCTCATCCGTGACAGCCAGCAGGTGTGCCCTGTGAGCGGAGCCCCACCCACCCACCCACAGAGGTGCTGAGAGGAGTAAAGATGACACATCCATCCCAGGCTGTGCAAGAATCTCCTCACACCTTCAGAGACCATTAGTTTCACTGAAACTCCACACATATTCACTGCTTCCCAAGACTTCCCAGTTCAATGTTTTGCTAGAACAAATACTTTAATTATTTTTACTCATATGCCTTAATTTTTCTGATTCTTCTTAAATAAGTCTTCTATAAAAATACCCAAAAAAAGCTACTAACCTTCCCATCTTCTCCATTTCAGTCTTCAAATATTTTGGACACTGATTATTCCCTATCACCAGTTTTCTCTTCCCTAATGTAACATACCTCAATTTTTGTCCTACCCTCTATCTTTCTAACTCTGTTTCCATTAGTCTTCTTTTTAATTTGCAGGCATTATATTCTATTAGTCATCCAAATTTAAAACCTTGAAGTTATTTTTAACCTCTGTTCTGAGAATTGACATAAATTATTCTCCAAATTATCCTAATTATATCTCCATGTGCTGCTCACATTCATCCTGCAAAAGTGCTAAAGATTTCCCATAAATTCATTTTCTTATTCTCTTTTCTTCGACTGTCCTCATCACCTTTATTTTTTCTTGCCAAACCACTGTGTCTGTTCATCCTCTTTCTTGTACATTCTCCGTTAATACCAAACAAAGGCATGTCCATGACTATTGAATGCACACTGCTGCCTTACAGAGGTACTGGGAGAGTTTATGAGAGAGCTTACTGCTCTGGTATCAGAGGGCTTTTGCCCTACCTGCCTGAAGTTGGCCAACCTGAATTTGAATATGCAAGGATGTTTTGTGTTTGTGGGAGCAGAAACTGAAGAGACCAGAAGGAATAGCATTTCTAAATTACTTCCCATAATGAGATACTAAAATGACATCCTGGATGAACAGTTGAAAATAAAAAATGTTTTAAAGATGCATAATCTAGGCCACGACCAAAGGAGCAAGACACCCCTGGTTCCTTTTTTGTAGGAAGACAACCAGCAGGGCTCATTCACCTTGATGTGTTGCACTTTGGCCCAGTGGGTAGAGAAAAAACAAACCCACAGAGGTGAGAGAATTTAATGCTATTTGATAAAGAGTGGCTTTGTGGGTGCTTTTCTCTCCTAACAGCAGGATTACTGAAAATAACAGGCTCCAGTGTGTTTCTTTCATGGAGGCACCAAAAATAGTTCTTTTGTCATAAGTCTTAATAGAGCTAAAAAGTCAGTCCCATAGAAATTAGAAGCTTGTCTGGATTCTCCTAGCAGGTATGCAGTGAAGGGCAAGCGTGCCATCTCCTCTGCTGATCGTATGTTATGTGCAAGATGGGGTGAGGGAGACTGATATGAACCAGTTTCTTAGTAAAGACAAAAAAGTGAAGATTAAAGAAAAAGGAAGAAATTAGAGTAAAAGCAAGCAGACAATGCTGTGCTGCCTTCTCTTTCTTTCATCCTGAATATAAAGAGCAGTGCTTGCTTCCACTTGCATCCATTTCAAGTAGAAGTGGAACAATTAAAAATGTCCTCTAACTACTGATCAATAGAATTAGTGAATTTTAAATGTTAATGCATTCCATTTCAGGCAATAGAAAGATGGTTATATTTTTTTATTATTTTACCCTTGACTTAGATGATCAAAAGATGGAAAACCTAACATGTAATTTACCTTCTGTATGGACATAAAAATGAGACTAAAATATCAAATGAAAAATATGCTCATGAAGAAAAATCAAGTTCCTCAATGCCTTTAAGTGTCCAGAATTTTTCCAACAAACCTGCAAGGTTGTTATCTCAGAGAATGAGCAGTATGTGGCCACAGAATACCAGCAGGCAAAAAGGCTTTAAAATTTTTATTCTGACTACATTTTTAATTTTTATATATTCCTCTACATTCCCATATACTTTCTTTAAAAATCGAAGAATTAAGCGATAAGGAGCTAAAAACTTGCATATGTGTTTGCTTATTACTCTTTAAGGAACCCAGGCTAATAGAAACACCACTGTCTAATAGCTGCACCCCATGAATCTGCCTCAGACATACCCCTCGTTTGCCATAGGAAAAGAGAGATGGGTTTGCATTGTTGCACAGAGGTAGAAAACCCATCCACCTCACTTACATTTCATTGTCGGGACTGAGCATGTAAGAGTAATATTAGTAGATGTAATATTAGTGTTGTACTTGGGCACTGTACATGATTGGAGCTTCCTCCATATGGTGGCCAGTTACCAAGAGCAAGTGATGGGGAGGGACGGGGGAAAGAGGGAGGGAGAGTAAAAGAGAGGCAAGGGTGTGCCTGTCCCTGAGGAGCTGGCTTCAGAAGTCACCCAGCCTTACTTTGACTGAATCAATTTCATCTCTCAACAGAGCAGGGAGCGTGCTGAAAGATAGTACAGAATCTAAACACAAATGTCATCATGTGGACACTTGGCAATATTTCATGTCACCAAAGCTTGATTCCTAAAGTTTCTTAGATAATAGAATCATGACCATATAAGACTTGGTAGAATGAGTATTTTCCATCCATTTTCAAACTTTCGAAATACAATATATCTCAGTCAAAATAACTGACCGAGGCAGCTGTCCTAGAAGTAAAGTGTGGGTGTGCGGATGGTGGCAGCGACCCTCAGTGGGGGTGAGTGACAGCAGGACTCCTGCATTTCCTCTGGGCCCCGCTAAGGATGTGGTCAGCCATTGAGGTGCTCGGCCAGACCTCAGGCCTGGGGGAATCCATGCTCATTCATCATTTTAAATTTGTAAAGAGCCCTACAAAAGTGGATCCCATACAAATTTGATGGAGGTACTGCATATTTTTTTAAATACAGAAATTCAAAACTACTGATAACTATCACTACTGTGAAATACTCTGCCAAACTTCAAAAAGCAGACATAAATTCATTCATTAGGAAAATAATCTTGTAATTGCTCATCTATCGGCCCCACCAACCCACCTCTTTTTACCTCTATGGCGGTGTCTTTGATTCAGGAAAATTATACCACAGCTATGTTAATTTCTGACCGCATATCCAGCAATTTCAGCCGTACGATATACATCAAATATGCTCCACTGAATGTTACTAGCAATTTGTATTTTTTTTGAATGAATGATTTAAAGTAGTATGTTGGATTTTATCAAAATGACCACAATTTTGTTTATGACAACAAAGGATAATTTTGAAACACTTTATGTTCATAAAAAACTATTTACAAGTAAAAAAATAATAATGCTAAAAAATAAGAAGTAGATTAAAACTAATTATTGGAGGCCTTACAGAAGAATCTAATATAAATATTATTATGATATATCTATCCTAGAGGGTAAATTTAGTAGGTGTTGTAGGCAGCTTATTGTAGTTTTGCGATTCAAAATCTATTAAATCTATGCAACTACCCAGTGCTGCCAGACCAAATATAAGTGTCAAAATGGAACAGAATGAGATCGTTAAAATATACATATAATTTTAAAATGATGACAGTGACATTTATATTCACTAAAACTTTTAAACTATAGTTCAAGTCCTGGTACGACAGACATTTCGTCCAGATTTATTTCTTTTTTCTTTTTTTAGATTGGATTGTTTTCATATCATTTAGTCCCTTTATACCACCCTCCCCACCACAATCACCAACCACAGTTTTCCATGTCCATGAGTTCTTTTCCCTTTTTGTTCTACTCCTCCAGCCCCTAATTTACCTCCACCCCTTAGCTGTCATCCTGCTCTCCATCTATGAGTCTGTCTCTATCCTGCTTGTTCAGTTTGTTCATTAGATTCCACCTATGAGAGAAATCAGATTTCATAATCAAATATACACAGATTAGTTTTATAGTGGAAGTCTCTTGCTTGAAGTGGAAATGCATAGGTATTCTCACATCGTTGTTTTAAGAAATGTGAAATTCCCTGGCACCTAATATTTATTTATTTTGGAAACAACAAGAACCAACACAAATGGGTGTTAGGAAAGGAGATACCAATTAGTACCACTCATGATTTACATGGTAGCAGTTTGGTACTTTCAGTTGTATTGTTTACATGCTTAGTATTTTTATAAAAAACAACAAAATTAAGTGGATTTCAATGTTACTATGTACACATATGCATTTATCCCAAGAATATTTATTAGTATCATTGGGTGCCAAACCTAGGTTCAAACTTCAAGGATTTTACAGACTAGTAGTAGAGCCAAACAAACAGATGATTATCATACTTTGTGCTGAGAGTGAGATAAAGTGAGCATGTCTTGTGCATCAGGGAACTTAATGTCTAAGCCTAAAATGTAGACTACCAACCTGGAAAGGCACGTCCTGCTGAAGTGATGGCCAGAGGAGTGCATGCTGGGGCGTAGGACACAGCTTATACTTTGTGGGAAATTCCATCCGTGTTGGTAGGCACGTGTCATCAGCAGCACTATCACTTGCTTTGACCGTCGTCTGCCCTATGCTTCATCTCATTGAATGATGGGGCTTTTAGCAACTGGAAGTTGCTCCCCTTACCAATTTGCAAAATTGCTCTGGGACTCATAGATTTTGGGAAGCAGTTGTTTTTTTAAAGCTTTAGAAAGTCTAATTTAAAGCTTTAGAAAGTACATGCTTTCCTTAAACACACAACACGAAAGTGTTTATCTTCTTCCCATTAGAACATTTACTTCCTTTTTTCTCTCTCTTTCTTGATTTCTAGAGTAACAGTGACTGCTGACAGGATTCCTAGATCCCAACTCAAGCTGTCTGTTGATTTTAACTACAGTGTTTGAGGCTGTGTGTGGAACACAGATGAATAACCAGCCCTGGAATTGAGTGAGTGACATTTAATAGAAAATACTATTCGTTTCACCTGATGTGATGTTTTCTGAGTCATAAAAATACTGAGCATTATGATGACTGCCAGCCTGGATGATCTATGGCTTGATTTTAAGTCGCATCTGTGGGATTTCTATGTAAATTGATGTTTTATTTCTCTTACTTATACAACAAAAAGGATTCAGATTTTTGACATCATTGAGTATCCTTGGAATGAAATATTAAATGGCTTTAGGGGGAAAGGTAGCTTTTATGCTGGAGAGTATGACGCATCATAAACCTCTCTATCACTGCAATCAGTCTCCTGACATGAAGATAATAGTGTTGCACATACAACATCGCTTTCCCTCTCAGGCTTGATGCAGTAGGTGAAAATGTAATGCACAAGGTTAGTCACTGTAAAGAAAGTAAATCTGTGCATTCTGGAAAGATGTTTGTTTCAATGTTTGTATTTGCAAGGCCTCGTACCCTTTGGGTTAATCTTGAAATATTTTGGAGAGTCTGTCACCTGAAGTGTGTGACTAATCCAGAGTCTCACTCAGAAGATGGAGAAAGATAAACCTGCTCACAAAATACTCATTTCATGGGTGAGGAGCTCTCTGGATTACTATTTTATTCTACTTTCTAGTGCTCCGAGCACATTGCACAATCCAAGAGCTCTATTTCAGCTTATGCTTTCATTGTATTTTATCCTTTATTTTTCTCTGATCTCCCAGGACCTGAGTCATTTCTTTCTCAAAACCTGAGTGACTATTCTATAATATTTACCCAAAAGAGTTGGAAATTATGTACATACATTCATGTACATCCAGGTACATGGATGTTTATAGCAGTTTACTCATAATCACCAAAACTCAGAAGCAGCTAAAATGTGGTTCAGTAGGTGAATTGATAAATAAAGGTGATACAGCCAAATAAAAGCATATTATTTAGCACTAAAAATAAATCAACTATCAAACTATGAAAAGACACAAAGAAATCTTAAGTGCATATTACTAAGTGAAAAAAAACAATTTGAAAAGGCTACAAACTGTATGATTCCAACTCTGACATTCTGGGAAAGCAAAACTATGGAGACAATAAACAAATCAGTGGGTAGGAGTGAGGAGAAATGAGCAGGTAGAGCACAGAGGATTTTTGTATGATACTATAATGGTGGGTAAATGTCATGTTTCATTTCTTCAAACCCATAGAATGGAAAAAACCAAGAGTGAACCCTAAAGGTAAACCATGGACTTCGGGTGCTGATGACCTGTCAATGCAGGTTCATCAATCGTAACAAATGTATCATCTGGTGAGATATTGATAATGGAGAAGGCTGTGCATGTGTGGGGGCAGGGAATATATGGGGAATCTCTGCAGCTTCCTTTCAGCTTTGCTGTGAACCTAAAATTGCTCTAAAAATTAAAAAAACAAAGCAAAAAAACTGGACTTATTGGGAAAGTTGACTGTAACTTCTTACATCATACTAATTATTGGCATTCTTTTCGGGTTGAGAATGTAATGCAGTGCTTTTGGGTATTCCAGTGAAAACTCTAAAAGTCTGTTAGGTTTCATATTCAGTATTAATGATGAGTCATTGCTGCTGTTTGTTGTCAACTGCCCAAACACACTCCAACACCCACATTATCACCCAGAGTTTCAAACCACCAAAAAGATAATGTTAAGTATGAAAAGTAAAGGTTGACTTCCAGTCAAGTGGCAGTATAGATAAATACAGTTCGACTCCTCTCACAACCACATCAAAATTACAACTAAACTATAGAACAACCACCACTCGAAACCATCAGAAATTGAGCTGAATAGAAGTATTGTGACTAGTAGGAAGAGCAGAGGCATGGAACAGACTGGTCTTATGCTCAGACATGATGAATATAAATCGAGAGGGATATCTCAGGAGCAAGGAGTCCCAGCCCCACACCAGGTCCCCCAACCCAGGCTTCCATTACCAGGAAGTTAAGTCTCCATAAATTCTGGCTGTAAAAACCAGTAGTTATTGAGGCTGTAGGAGACAGAAACTGCTGGAATCCCAGGCAGTTCCTCTTAATGAGTTCATGCATTAACTTACTCAGGCTCACTATCTCTGAGCTCCAGCACAGGGGCAGCAGACTGAAAGAGGAGGACATATGGAGAAGAACTGAATTGTCTGGCATCAATGACAGGGCTGGAGGGCACTTTATTCCAGACAGAAGTGTTGGCAGAGGCCATTGTTCCTTTTCTGATCTCTCCCCTGACAGAGCCTCAGAGCTGGCAGGTGGGTGTCACATGCCTAAGGCTCCAACAACCAGGCTCACATTGTCTGCTCCACCTTGGTGATTCCCTGAAGCCTTGCCCCACCCAACTTTTGGACCCACTCAAGCTGTTTCCAGGGGGTTTTCCATACAAATGGCTTACCTTGGCCCATCTTTCAGATTTTCCTAAATTCTCTCAAACAAGCAGCATCTTGCTTAAGTGAGCCTAGTACCTCTCACTAAGTTGCCCCAGGGCCAGATCTAGCAGAAGCCAGCCTTAGTTCATAGCCAGGCCTTTCCTGGGCACCTCCAAACCCAGCACAAGTACCAGACATCTGCAGATTGCTTTGTAGCTTATGCTGTGTGACCCAGGAGAGAACACAGGTGGTGGCCTAGTTTGTACATGCCAATAGCAATCAAGGCTCAACTACAGCAGGAAGGTATACATAGCCCACACAGTGGACACACCTTGATTACCCAGCTCCAGTAATAGGAGACGCTGTGCCAGTGGACACTATAGGTGACCTACCACATTAGGCTACTCTACCAAGCCTGGAAGACATAGCAATTCTACCTAATATATAGAAACAAACACAAGGAGACTGCCAAAATGAGGAGACAAAGAAATGACCCAAATGAAAGAACAGATCAAAACTCCAGAGAAAGAACTAAATAAAATGTAGATAAGCAATCTATCAGATGCAGAATTCAAAACACTGGTTATAAGGATGCTCACTTAATTTAGTAAGAACCTCAGCAGCATAAAAAAAAAAAAAAAGATCCAGTCAGAAACAAAAGATACACTAATTGAAATAAAGAACAATTTTCAGGGAATCAACAGTTGCGTGGATGAAGCTGAGAATCAGATCTGTGATATGGAACATAAAGAAGCAAAAAACAGCCCTGGCTGGTGTAGCTCAGTGGATTGAGCGCGGGCCTGCAAACCAGACAATCGCGGTTCGATTCCCAGTCAGGGCACATACCAGGGTTGCAAGCTGGTTCCCTGCAGGCCAGTTCCCAGCAGGGGATGCATGAAAGGCAACCATACATTAATGTTTCTCTCCCTCTCTCCTTCCCTTCCCCTCTAAAGATAAATAAATAAAATCTTTAAAAAAAAAAAAGAAGCAAAAAATAAGAATCAGAAGAGCGAGAAAAAAATAATCCAAAAAAATGAAGATAGTGTAAGAAAATAGTGTAGAAACTTCAAGCAGGCCAACATTCGCATCATGAGGGTGCCAGAAGGAGAAGAGAGAGAGCAAGAAATTTGAAACCTATTTGAAAATATAATGAAAGAAAATTTCCCTCACTTGCTGAAGGAAATAGACATACAAGTCCAGGAAGAACACAGAGTCCAAAACAAGATGGATGCAAAGAGGCCGACTTCAAGACACATCATAATTAAAATGACAAAGATTAAATACAAAGAAAGAACCTTAAAAACAGTAAAAGAAAAGTGATTAGTTACTTACAAAGGAGCTCCCATAAAACTCTCAGCAGAGTCCTTAAAAAGAACTTTGGAGGCTAGAAGGGATTGGCCAGAAATATTCAAAGTGATGTAAAACAAGAACCTACAACCAAGATTACTGTTTAAAACTGAAGGACAGATAAAGAGCTTCCCAGACAAGAAAGGCTAAAGGAGTTTATCACCACCAAAGCAGTATCACATGAAATGTTAAAGGGTTTACTTTAAGAAGGAAAAGAAAAAGACCAAAAATATGAACAATAAAATGGCAAGAAATACATATCTGTCAACAATTGAATCTAAAAAAAAACACACAAAATAGACAAACATGCAGAACAGAAGCAGACAATCTTAGGTACAGAGTACATTTTGATGGTTGCTAGATGGAAGGGTGTTGGGGGGATGGGCAAAAAACAGTACAAATTGGTTGTTACAGAATAGTTATGGGATGTAACATCCATCATAGGGAATAGAGTAGCCAAAGAGCACATATGCATGACCCATATACATGGACAATGGTGTGGGAATTGCCTAAGGGAGGGGGCAGCTGAGTGGAGGGGGACAATCAGGGAAAAACTGGGATAACTGTAACAGATTCAACAATAAAATATAATTTTAAAAGGAAATAAGTAAAGGTCTAGGCCATTACTGAAACATTCACATACCTATTTGTTAGTGAATTGTGTACAAATGGATAGCACAATAGGGAAAACCATCATCGCAACTCTATTCATCACGAGGGTACAGGGCTTACTTAAGAGTATTGCATTTTCTACATAAGCAGAACCACCATGACTGTTTGGTGTAACTTTCCTATAAATGCCAGCCTACAGCTCACCATGCTGCTTTGCTTCTCTTGCTTCATTCTTTTGCTTATCATGTTCCTGTGGACTTCCAGCTTTTACTACTTTAAAAGGCCAGTGCCTGTTCTCCTAAATTCCCCTGTCTAGTCTTTTGTTTCTGGAGTAAGGTTGATGAGAAAACAAAATAAATTGAACTGGGTTTGGAAGACTGATGGACTTTCATACAAGTAAATATGACCCTTTGCTCTCAGTCTTTGTAACATAACAGAGGCTGGCTACTCCCCATGGCAGAAGTTGCCAGAAATAAATAAAGATATTGCTCTCTTCAGCACTCGTTTGCTAACTTCCTGTTATAAACTATATAAAACTTTGGACCTAAAATTTGAGGTTATGGATTCTTCATTAATAAAAAGTAAATAAAGAATATGAAATAGAAATTTGCATCTAGATAGTGGAGAAATAAACTGTGTCACACCTTGTTTAACACACACGTATGTTTTT